CAATGATAATCTGTGATCACCATTATTTCATACCAAAAATCGATTTTTTGATTGAAAACATAAAAGTCCATTTATCTTGGAAACTATAAGAGATAGAACCAACACAATGATAATCTGTGATCACCATTATTTCATACCAAAAATCGATTTTTTGAGTGAAAACATAAAAGTCCATTTATCTTGGAAACTATAAGAGATAGAGCCAAAACAATGATAATCTGTGATCACTTTTATAACATACCAAAAATCGATTTTTTGAGTGAAAACATAAAAGTCCATTTATCTTGGAAACTATAAGAGATAGAGCCAACACAATGATAATCTGTGATCACCATTATTTCATACCAAAAATCGATTTTTTTTATTGACAACATAAAAGTCCATTTACCTTGGAAACTATAAGAGATAGAGCCAAAACAATGATAATCTGTGATCACCATTATTTCATACCAAAAATCGATTTTTTTATTGAAAACATAAAAGTCCATTTATCTTGGAAACTGTAAGAGATAGAACCAAAACAATGATAATCTGTGATCACCATTATTTCATACCAAAATTGATTTTTTGAGCGAAAACATAAAAGTCCATTTATTTTGGAAACTAGAAGAGATAGAACCAAAACAATGATAATCTGTGATCACCATTATTTCATACTAAAAATCGATTTTTTGAGTGAAAACATAGAAGTCCATTTATCTTTTATATCGCACCAAAAATGGATATTTTGAGTGAAAACATAAAAGTCCATTTATTTTGGAAACTAGAAGAGATAGAACCAAAACAATGATAATCTGTGATCACCATTATTTCATACCAAAAATCGATTTTTTGAGTTAAAACATAAAAGTCCATTTATCTTGGAAACTATAAGAGATAGAGCCAAAACACTGATAATCTGTGATCACTTTTATATCTCACCAGAAATGGATTTTTTGATTGAAAACATAAAAGTCCATTTATCTTGGAAACTATAAGAGATAGAGCCAAAACAATGATAATCTGTGATCACCATTATTTCATACCAAAAATCGATTTTTTGATTGAAAACATAAAAGTCCATTTATCTTGGAAACTAGAAGAGATAGAACCAAAACAATGACAATCTGTGATCACCATTATTTCATACCACAAATCGATTTTTTGAGTGAAAACATAAAAGTCCATTTATCTTGGAAACTAGAAAAGATAGAGCCAAAACACTGATAATCTGTGATCACTTTTATATCTCACCAGAAATGGATTTTTTGAGTGAAAACATAAAAGTCCATTTATCTTGGAAACCAGGAGAGATAGAGCCAAAACAATTATAATCTGTGATCACTGACTATTTCAGAAAATTTTCTTTACGCCTCTGATGAAGGGAATAAAAATGTATAATTATATATATTTTAATTATTTTATAACAAATTCTTATATTTCCACTTAACATATTTTTAGGCTTAATTACTATTATAAAACCAAGTGGCCGTATTTGTGAAATAAACCATCTGGCATTCCTTTTTTTCTACCCTATTGATAAAAACATCTGGTTTTTGACATTTGCGTTTGAGTGTGTAGGTGTGTAAGGAAAATATATTATTTGCAGAAGAAACGAAAACAATACATAATTTTTTTTAGAAAAAAGCGAAATAAACATATTTTATTAAAAATCTTGCCTAAAAATAATAAATAAAAATGAATTTAATAAATGGCATTAAATTGTATATAGAAAAGATGTGCTCAGAATCGGGGCCGGGCATGAAAACAATGCTATTGGATAAGGAAACAGTGGGTGCAGTATAAAAATAGATAATTTGTAGATTTTGTTACAATTTATTTTGGAAATTTTTAGACCAGTATTATATCAATGGCATTTTCTCAGTCGGATATGCTGCAGCGGGAGGTTTATTTATTTGAACGCATTGATTCGGGACGTTCCAATGAGCGCATGAAATATTTAAAATGTATAGTTTTCATAAGGCCAACCAAGCAGAATGTACAATTGTTGGCGCAGGAGCTAAGAAGCCCTAAATATGGTTCATATTTTTTGTGTAAGAAAGATTATGGGGAAAAATTAGCACAATTTACTGAAATTTATGTTTTTTCCAGATTTCAGCAACATTATACCCCGCACCGATATTAAATATTTGGCCGAGTGTGATGAAAGTGAATCGGTGCGTGAAGTAAAAGAGTTGTATGCCGACTATATGGGTGTTAATCCCAATTTATTTTCCCTTAACATTCCCACTTGCATGCAAAGACTTAATTGGCTGCCCGATGCATTAACACGTTCTGTACAGGGCATAATCTCGGTATTGCTGTCCCTCAAACTAAATCCTGTAATACGATATAGGGCAGGTTCGACGGTTACACAAACTTTAGCCAAACAAGTGTACGAACAAATAACCAAAGAATCTTCTCTATTCGATTTTCGTACTCATGAAAATGGAGCTGCTCCTCCATTGCTATTAATTTTAGATCGCCGTGATGATCCAGTGACACCTTTACTACACCAATGGACTTATCAGGCCATGGTTCATGAACTTTTAACCATACGCAATAATCGTGTGGACTTGTCGGAAAATCAGGCAGTACCCAAAGATTTTAAGGAATTGGTCTTATCGGGAGACCAAGATGAATTTTATGCCAAAAATATGTATGCCAATTTTGGTGAAATTGGTTCGACCATTAAAAATCTTATGGAAGAATTTCAACGTAAGGCAAAAGATCAAAAAAAGGTGGAAAGTATTGCGGATATGAAAAATTTTATAGAAACTTATCCACAATTTAAGAAAATGTCCGGTACGGTGCAAAAACATTTATGCATAATGGGTGAATTGTCCACAATGACAACAAAAAGGAATCTATTTGAGGTATCAGAATTGGAACAGGAAATAGCCTGTAAAGCAGAACATTCCCAACAATTGCAACGTATTAAGAAGTTAATAGCAGATGAACGCATTTCCCTAGAAGATGCTTTAAAACTAGTGGCTTTATATGCCTTGCGCTATGAACGTCATGCCAATTGTGATACTTCGAGTTTACTGCAGATTTTAAAAATGAGATCAGCACAAACACACATAATACCCAGTTTAATAGAATATGCAGGCACCCACATGCGCCAGGGAGAACTATTTAATTTGGTGCGCATTACCGATGCCGTCAAATTGACACGTAATCTTATTAAAGGCCTTAAGGGAGTAGAGAATGTTTTTACCCAACATACCCCGTTGCTAAAGGAAACTTTGGAGGATGTTTTCAAGGGTAGGGAACTAGATCCCACCTATCCTGCTATTAACTCAGAACTAGTACCATTCCGTCGTCCACCTCAAGAGGTGGTAGTTTTTATTGTCGGTGGCACCACCTATGAAGAGGCTTTATCGGTGCATCAATTGAACAATATGGGTTATCGCGTTATATTGGGTGGTACGACCATACACAATTCTCAAAGTTTTATTACTGAAGTTTTGGCTGCCACCGATGGTATGCAATTTAAACATACCAAATCTATGTTAAAACATTATGCTTCAACTGAAAATTATTAAGTTCTCTAGGCAGTCGTACCATATACATATATCTATTTATAAAAGATTTTTTAGATAATTAATATTGATTCTTTATATATATTGTACTGTGTAGGTATAGTTCCAAAATATAAATCTATACCTTGGTGTATTTATGTTATTATTAAAACTATTAATATCAATTAAACTATTATTTATAATCCCCAAGTAAAAGTTAATAAAAACATACTATAAAATCAAACTACTCAATCTATCAATCAAGTTTATAATTTAATTTCTTTAAAATATTTCTTATTGGAAATTATTGTTATGAATCAAAAGTAGACCCTGTATTTTTTATTGGAGTTGGTAACATTAATACTTTTTGATTTTTTTAATAACTAAATTAATTTTTCACAAATTTCGTATCAACTATGTATTTCTTATTGGAAAAATTCTGATATGTATAAGTCAAAACTGGATCCGGCGGTAAGTTCTGCATTTAGTAACGCAAATATTTTTGTATAATTAACAAAGTATTTTACCAAAAATGGCGACTTTAATATTAAAAAATACACTTACCTTTCACTTGTTAATGTAATTTGCTTTATATTATCCTTTTAAAGTTAATCATATTTATAATATATTATATAAAATATTATTTATAACAATATACACTTTTTCTTTCACTATTTTCACTAATTTGACTTTAATTATACGCAACACAAAATTTAAAACACTTCTAAAATCAAAACTAAACTTGATTCTTCAGCGCGTCCTTTTTGATTGTATGTGCGTGTGTTTACAGTCATTCATCAATGAATGTTAACAGAAAAACTTTGACTTTACAATGTTTACATAAATATAACGGTAAAATTGTTAGCATGTGAAAAATATGTAAAGAAACCTTAAAAAATTACAATATTAACATAATTTACTATTCTATTTTTATTAACTAATAAAGTTTTTTCTCAAAAATTTCTTTTGAAAGATGTTTTCTACAGAAAATATTAAAAATATTTGCAACAATACCAGTTACATGATCTCTTAGAAATCTTCTATAGAAAAGTTTATTATAATTTGTTGTTCTATTTGAAATCTCCAATAAGTTTTCTATAGAAAAATAAGATGATTAATTTTAAAACGGTTTTTACTTAATGAAGTTAATTGATTGCGTGATTTTTGAGAAGTTTTCATAGAAAAGTTTATTTTAGGAAGTGTACTGTAGAATAGTTTCTTCTTCAGGAAGTTTTCCATAGAAAATTGTTTTCATAAAAAAGTTTTCTATAGAGAATTTTTTCAAAATAGACGAATAATTAGTTTTAATTAATATATTTCTTTAATTTTTTTAAATATGTAATATGCTAACTTTTAAATTTGTAAATATATAACAATAATACCTGCTCTATTTCTTCTGGTAATCTCATCTCTCGCACATTCACAAATAATTGATAGCACCAACATATGTTTTAAGTTTTCTTAAAGATATGGCAGCACTATGATACAAGTTTTTTGTTTACAAACCAAAGGACAATTAAAATTATTTTGTGAATGAATTTTATTTACAAATTTATCCATATTTAAGTTTATAGCGAAAAACAAACTGAAAAGTATGCCGAAAAGAAAACATGATATCTTTACGGAAAAAGTCATGGAGGAATTTCTCGATAATGGTTTGTATTAATTAAAATAAACCAAAGTGAAAAAATTTAAGAATTTTCCCTTTTTTATAAAACCCAAGATATTCCAGTAAAAATAAAAACCCAGCTGGTATCTGATGATGAGGAATCTGATATGGATCATAACGAAATAAAAATAGAGCCATATGAAGGTAAAGATGAAATCTTTATTTGTACATTTTTTATGGTACATAAAATAAATCTTTAGTTTTAGAAATGAATGATGATAGCTTATCTATAGAGGATCAACCTTTAACAAGAAGCATTGGCATTCAAACGGACGCTGTTTGTGAGACCAATGGTAAGTTATTTTGCTCTTTTACTTGTTAGAAATCACTGAGAGAATAGAATTTCATAATCGGAATGACACCTTCCCAATGTCTTATGATTTTAACATTATTACAGTGAAAATTTGTCATTTGTACAATGAAAGGTTTTCATTTTGTGCAGAAATATTGTATTTCATATATGTATGTATGTTTCTAAATTTACAGTAAATGTCCAGAAAGTTTTGAATACTTTAAAAGCGAAGCATTTGGTGAACAGTAAACTGATGGTGGATAAGTTATTTCAATCGATTGAGAAGGTCGTAGAAGATTGTACAAAATCCATAAATAGGAAGGGTAAAGAAGAAATATTTAATACCTATCTTTCTTTTTAAAACTCAACAATGTGAGCTAATTTTACTTTTAGATGCAGGGCTGGAAGATACTACATTGGTAGGCCTATTAACTTCCTGGGACTTGAAACATCTCTTGCAATTTTTTCAAGGTAAACATTAAAAATTATAAAAAAAGTTATAAAACTATAAAAATCAACTACTTCTAGAACAAAACATTACAATTAAAACGCTTTCCTTATTGACCTCTAACGATTTAATGGAAATTACACAGCAAATGAAAATAGGCGACAAAATCCTATTCAAACATAATTTAGAAAAGTGGAGAAAGGATAGAAACTTACCCGTACTCTTGCAACAAAGCACAAGTGAAGCACAGGAAGCTCAATCTCATTATTCTGGTACCGAAGTTGAAAATCCCAAAGTAAATGTTTTGGATATTTTAAAACTACACAAAAATGGTTGTAAAATTTTAAAATTTTACGAAAAATCGCAAAAAATATCTGAAGAACATCGTTCCTGCATAATGAATATAATAGTACAACATTTTGAATCAAAAGATCTGCATATGTCTCTGCAAACCAGTTACCAATTAGAAAATCAAATACTAAAAATTTTTCCAACAGAAAAATTAGAATACTATAGAATAGAACGCAGGGGAAAGATATATTCAAAGTATTATAACAAGAAAAAACTGTTGAAATCTTTAAAAACTAGCGAAAGCAATTCAGTTACAACAAAAGAAGACGCACTAGGTATTTATATGTATATAGAGTTAAACAAAAAATTGTATTAAAGTTTGTTTTTTAGTACCAGAAGATGATGCAGAAGTGTATATCCATGTCCTAAAGACCCAAGATTTTAGAACTCAGGCATATAGCTTAGCATGGGGTAGCTGTGTTAATTATCGCTTGAATCAAATAAGAAACGAGTGTCATAATATTAAAGAGGTCTTAAAACTGTGGCCTGAATATAAGGGACCTAGTGCATGTAAATTTGTATGTTACTTTTTTGGAGTAATTATTTACTTTTTCTACATTTAGGACTGTTATTTTTTTTTTCAGATTGAATGTGACTTTAATGGATTATACCATAAAGTAGCTACTACTGTGAACTGGAACGAAAAGTTTCTAAAACTTTTTAAATATCTAAAAGATCATAATAACACGAGGGAAAAATCTATTACTGATATTCTAACGACTATAGAGGTACCTCAATCTGATGAAGGTATGTATTTCGTTTATGTTTTAATAACATCTATAATGATCTTTAAATTGCAACTTCTTTGCCTTTACAGATAAAGATCAACCGCTATTATACCTCAAGTTACTATGGTGTCTGCATAGCATTTTGTTTCAAACAAAAAAATGTGCCAGAAAAAATACAAACGGTAAAATGGAATATGGCAAATTTACCATAAAAGATTCTCAAGAATCATTTATTTATATAAACTCTACAATGCAGTCTTTGAAAGATCACTTGGCAGCTTTAGCAGCAAAAGACGACCCCATTCCGCCTTTTATTTTAGGTTTAGGCGATGTGAATACCTTAGAAATTGATAAATTTTTCATATATTTAGATGACAAACTTATAATATGCGATAGTTTTATGGAAGCTTTTGAAACATGTTTTAAATCTTTTCATGTATTTAATGTTTCTTATCCAATGGCGTCTGAACCATTTTGGATATTTGTAGAAAATTATTTTTATGGCATTTTCAAAAATGTTAAATCGTATACAAAAGTGTGTATACTTTTAGATCAGCTATCGAAAATGTAAAAAATTTTATTTTTCCTTAAATTTCCATAAGGAAATATTGAAGTTATTAATTTATTAAATGTAATGTAATGTTTTCATTATAATAATGAAAAAAGTTTTCTAAAGTAAATTATTCTTTTAATTAATGAAATGCTTTTAATAGCAGTAATGAAATAATTTAGTTAAATAATATTTCAATACATATAAAGTTTATTTTTAAGGGGTTTTCTATAGAAAAGTTTCTTAATGAAGAAGTTTTTTTATAGAAAATTTTAACATAGAAATTTACTGATGTTTTTGATAAATTTTTCATTCAATTAATGAAGTGTTTTCATTATAATAACAAAAGAAGTTTTCTGAAGTAGTTGATTATTTTAATTTATGAAATGCTTTCATTACTTTAATGAAATTAGTTTTCTATTGTAAAGTATTTAGTTAAAGAAGTTTTCTATAAAAAGAGTTAACAAAGAAGTTTATTATAGAAAAACGATAAAAAGCTTCTTGTTAATGGTAAATCGTATGTCTCTGAAACGTTTCATTGATAATAGATTCTTTCAATTAATGAAATACTTTCATTAAAGTAACGAAACAAGTTTTCTTAAGTAAATTATTTAGTTTAAGATGTTTTCTATGGAAAGTTTCTTATTCAGAAGAGTTTCTACAGAAAAGTGTATTGATAAAGAAGTTTTCTATAGAAAATACTGAATTTTTTAATAAAAGATTGTTTAAAAAGAAGTTTTTTATATAAAATTGTCTTTTTATAGAAGTTTTCTTTAGAAAGTTTATTGTTAATGTTAAATAAAATATTTTTGATTCTATTCGTTGATGAAACATTCTTTCTTATTAATGAAATATTTCATATTAATAACGAAAGAGGTTTTCTAAAGTAAGGAACATAGTTGAAGAAGTTTTTTATAGAAAATTTCTTCTTAAAGTAGGTTTTCAATAGAAATTTGTCTCGTTAAAGAAAGTTTTCTATAAAAAGGTTCTTGTTTATGTTAAATATAATGTTTTTGATTCTATTCATTGATGAAATATTCATTCATTTAATGATATATTTTCATTATAACAATAAAAGAAGGTAAATCAATTTCATTCATGTAGTTTTCTGTAGAAAATTAAATTTTGAGGGAGTTTTCTATAGAAAATTATCTTGCGTCTGTTAAAGAAATTATCTATAGAAATTTTTAATGATGGTATGTATAGGAATTTATTAGCACTAAACATGTTTTCTTTATAATACTATAATACTAAAATCTTGTTAAAGAAATTTTCCTTAGAACATCTTTAGTGTTTTGCTAAAGAGGTTCTAAGGAAAAGTATGCTCTTCAAAGACGTTTTTGTAAAGAAAATTTTCAACAACTAGAATTAAATTTGATGTTAAATTTAATTTATTTTATATGTACATTCTAGTTTTAAGTTTGTTTAATAAATAAAAAGAAAATTTTATAATTCTTAACTTACTGTACTGTAAACTAATTAACTTAATTCTAAACTAAATTAGTTGCACTGTTTTCCACAACATTATCCATATGACCTAACTTAACACGATGAGCTTTTAGAGTATTACTTTGCGTAAATGTGCTGCCACAAACATTACAACAATACGGCCTTTCGCCCGTATGTATACGAAAATGTATACTTAAATCTTTGGAGTATTTAAAGCTACGTTCACATTGTGTACATTTATAGGGTCGTATATCGGTATGTGAACGCATGTGGGTGGTCATTTTACTGGAAACACGAAAAGTTTTACCGCATATTTTACAGGCAAAAGGTTTTTCACCCGTATGTATGCGTCGATGGCAGGTTAATTCGGAGATGCGAGGATAGGCACGATCGCAGAGATCACATTTAAAAGGTCGTTCGCCCGTATGTCGTCGCATATGCACTATGAGATGAGTTTTACTGGAAAATGAGCTGCCACAAATGGAGCACAAAGAGCGTACTTCGTATCTTTTCGGTTTATTGGGTTTGACAGGTGATTCTTCACTAGTTTCCTTTAGCTCTTCTGTAGAATTTTCTGCATTAGTTTCTTTAATCTCATTCTCTTGACTGTGTTTATTTTTTATGTGTATATTAAGATGTTTCTTTTTTGTATAATTCCTAGGACATTTGTCACACTGAAAGATTCTTTCTTGTGTTGAGGGTTTACGTATGAGCGGCACTGTATCGGGACCATGAAAGGTACGCATGTGTGTATACATATTGCAGGAGCGGGAAAATTTACGAAAACACAATGGACAAGTACATTTTTGATCTTCAGGTATGTGACTAGTGCGTTGATGTCGAGCTAGAGCTTTGGAATTATTAAATATTTTATTGCACTGACTACAGGGCACGGCCACATCATCATCTTCGGTGGTTTCTTCAGATTTTCTCGATTTTTTCGTAATTTTCTTTTTATCATCTTTTTTACTATTTGAGCTGTTGGATTTTTGCTCTTTTTGCCAGTCCATATCATCTGTTGGGTCGTCTTGATAATCCTCATCATCAGTATCGCTATCTTTATCGCCGGCGCCATCATCGTCATCCTCTTCGTCATCTAGGAATAAATCCGTTATAGGTTTTGTATTTAAAAGGGTTATATCATCCTCCTTTGTTGTATCCACATTCAATATATCCTCATTAACTTGATGTTCAGGACCATTTAAGTTAGTTTTTGCTTCATTTGTTTCTTTTAAAGTTACTCTGTAATCAAAAAGGTTCAATTTTTATAATGAAGTTAATTTTTCACTCTATTCTAGATGAGCCGTGTAATTATTCATTCCATTCTATATAAATTGTATAAATTTTACTATCCTATATAAAACTTCACGTTTTTCACTCTATTCCAAATAAACTGGTTAATATATTTTACTATATTCAAGACGAATCCGTTGTTTTTTCATTCTACCCTCGATGACCCGTTTCATTTTTCATTCTATATGAATCGGTAAATTTTTCAAACTAATCTAAAACCAATTAATTCAAATTAAATCATTTCCATTCTTACTTACATTTCCACCGTATCATTTTCCTCATCACCATCCTTTTTTTCACACAATTCCTGAACATTTAAGTGATTAATTTGCGTAAAATCTTCCGGCTCCTCGAGCTTTAGTTCAACAGAACAAGGTTCTTCAGTTTTCGCCTCAGCCCCAGCCTCATCATGTTCCATTTTTATTTCCAAACAAGACTGTATATCCACCTGAGCCTCCTGCAGACAATCCAATTGATTATTTGTCTCATCTCGTCCCATTAACATGGTCATTAAACGTTCATTGACTTCATGGGTTTGTTGTATGAATGCATGTGAGGCTTTTAGTTTGCGTGAACAGCTGTCGCATATAAATTGTGGCAATTCTTTGTAAGCTTCATCCATTATCTTGGAAATATAGGAAATTACCAAAAGTTTTTATCCAAGTTTCTATAAAACTTACATTTATATTGGACACCTCCCTTAAGAGTTCTGCATAGGATTTCTTTTGCAGACCGCCAATACATTTGGTTAGGAGCTTAAGACCTTTATTGGCATTGTAACATGCACGACACTGTTGCTTTTCCAATTTTTCCATGTTATTTTGTTCGCTTTATTTACATAAAAACAAATTTTTATATTTTCCTCATAAATTTGTTTATTTTTCTGTGATTTTATTGCAGAGACCTGCGCCGGTTCTGCTTAAAGCCTTTAATGTTTGTCGGCACAGGACTCTGTTTTGTTGGGTATTTATTAAATGTGTGCAGTGTTGTAAAAAAAATAGTATTAGTATGGTTATCAACCATTTGAAAGGAAACCTATAGTGTGTGTAATTTATAATAGCAAATTTTTAAACCAATTTAGTGAAGACACGCACACATATATATTAATCAGAAACAATCAATAGTGGGTTTGTAGATATACTAAATTTACGTTGACATAAAATGATGCCAAAATTGTCTTTTTTAGATAAAACTTATATTTTGCTTTAGTTTGGTACATTTAGTGCTTTTGCTTAAGTTAAATTAGAAAATATGAAATTGCGAAATTAAAATACATAATTTTTATTTATTGTTTAAGAAAAAAATATACTACTACATAATTAATTTTTGGGTTTTTTACATAATTTATTATAAATAAATTACAAACTATATTTAAATACTAGAAGAAAAATACATATCAAATTAAATAATTATATAATGATCTCATTTTGTGAAACATCTTGTGTATCAACCAATTTAGAAGCTGCAATTTCCTTGGCTACATTATCATTCTTATCCTTAGATACACATTTTTCTTTAAAATAACGATTTTTAACTAATTTTAAAGCATCTCTTAAATGACATTTAAACGACTTTTCAGTACAATTTTCATCATAAGTACCATCTGGGAGAAATTTACAAAAAAAATCCCATTAAAGACACATAAATAACGTTTAAAATAAAAACTTCATACTCACGAAACAAAACATTAACAAATTTGGTGTAATTTAAAAGACGCTGTTTATTATGACTGCCATCAACATTAAATTCTACCAAAAGTTTGGGCGTCATTATATCGGATAGACCTTTTTTTAGGCCACGTTGACCAGCTATTGCTCTTATGGAAGAAATCTAAATCATAACTACTAATAAATATATAGTTTTTTTTTTAGATTTTTTCATTAATACTCACATAATCCTTTTCATTTTGTTCATTAATATTCTCTTCTATTTCATTTAATTGTTCTATAGTACTTATCGGAAATATTTTTAAAAATCTAGGATTTTTATTTAATGACTTTTCTATAGCATCAGTATTTTCGCTTAAAACATTTAGCACTAAAGTATTTTGATTTTTGATATCTAAAAAGGAAAAGAGTTTAATGTGAGTTTAAGCAGAAATTTTCAATTTTAAAATATTAGTAATTTACCTCTCATTTGATGCTTCAAAATTTCATTGTTTTCTGAAAAATTGTAATTGTTTAATATAAAATTAAATATTATAAATTTTTTTACAGTGTAACTTACGTGTTAATAGATCCATTTTTCTATTCAGTAGTGCCAGCATTTGTGTTATATCATTTTGTACATCATTTGAAGAATTTACTTTACTAATTTTAAAACTGTAATACAAGAAATTAAAAAATATTTAGGACAATTTAAAAATTTAATTTAGAATCTGATTTATTTTTTAATATATTCCAAGTAAACCGGGTTCAGTAAATTTCCTAGTTTATAGTCTAGTTTATAGTGTAGTGTAGTCTAGTATATAGACTATTGTCTGGGCTATATACTATAGACTAAAGTACAAAGCCTAAACTATTTTTAAAGGTCTATAGTCTATAACCATTAACAACGAATAGAATTCCATTATTTACAATTTATTTACAATTTTTACAACAAAACATTTGTAAAACTATTTATCTAAACTATAACATCTGTAGATTCCGAAATACTTTCCATGTGACCCAATTTGGCACGATGAGTTTTAAGGCTATTACTCTGGGTGAAAGTGTTGCCGCAAACATTGCAACTATAAGGGCGCTCACCAGTGTGTATACGAAAGTGTATATTTAAATCTTTGGAATATTTAAAACTGCGTTCACATTGTGAACATTTATAGGGTCGTATATCCGTATGTGAACGCATATGTGTGGTCATTTTGCTGGAAACACGAAAAGTTTTACCACAAATTTTACACTCAAATGGTTTTTCACCCGTATGAATGCGTCGATGATAAGTCAACTCTACCAGACGGGGAAAGGCACGTTCACAGAGATCACATTTAAATGGACGCTCACCCGTATGACGACGCATGTGTACCATTAGATGAGTTTTATTGGGAAATGAACTGCCGCAAATGGAACACAAAGGTTTATGGTATATTTTTGGCAGTATTTCCTTGTTTTCCTCCTTCTGCTCATTATCTTGTGTGTGTTTAGTTTTGACATGAACATCAAGATATTTCTTTTGTGTATAATTTTTGGGACATTTTTCACACTGAAACATCCTATCCTGGGTTAAGGGTTTTCGTACGAAGGGCACAGTATTGGAACCATGAAATGTACGCATATGTGTATACATACTGCAGGCTCTTGTGAATTTTCTAAAACATATTGGACACGAACATTTTTGATCATCTGGTATGTGGGTGGTGCGTAAATGCCTTGTTAAGGCTTTGGAATTATTAAATACTTTATCACATTTTTTACAGGCAACAGCCACATCATCCTCATCACTTGTGGTTGTTTCAAGAGGGTTTTCTTCATTATTTTTCTTTATTTCCTCCTCTTGTGTTTCAATATTATCTGATTGCTTTTCTTCACAATCTTTTTCGTTTTCATTGTTGCTTTCGCTTTCTTGATTTAGTGAATCTTTGTTTGTTTTTAAATTATTTATAGATTTATCATCTTCTTTTTTAACACTTTTTATAATATAAATGTCTGGTTTGGATTCGATCCTCCCTTTAACATTTGCTCTAGAATCAAAGGAGAAAATTTATCGTCCGTTCAGCAACATTTGCATAAACTCATTTATATTTTCAAAAATACTATTTGAGGGGAAATTAACCGACTCCTATCGAATATTGTGACACATTTAACGATTCATATGTTCATATTAACTAGTTCGAAAGAAATTGTGTAAAAAAAATGAACAAGTTCGCATAGAACAATTTGTGAAATGAACCGCAGCATTTGAAATATTGAAAAATCGATTCTTCTGAAAAAATTAGGACAATACTATACTAAACTAGACTATAGAGTGGACTTCAGACTAGACTTTATACTAGTCTATAGACTGGACTACATACTAAACTGTATAGACTAGACTATAGACTAAATTATAGATTAAACTACAGACTAAACTATATACTAGAGACTATACACTAGACTTTAGACTAGACTAGAAAAATTTACTATGCACGCTTTGGATAACATTCAATATTTTGACTATTAATAATAAATAAAAATCAAATAACTTACAAGTCCCCGCTATCATTGCCCTCTCTCACACCGCTCACTAAACCAGCAGGAATTTCGTCACCATCATCTTTCAGTTCATCATGCCATTGTGGTTCAGGTTCTACTTCTGGCAAGCTGTCCTCAAATTCCATTTTAACTTGCACCGGAGCCTCCTCCAAACATGTGAATTCTACAGCGGATGTATCCTTTTGATTACTCAGCATTGCTATTAAACGTTCATTCACCTCATGGGTTTGCTGTATAAATGCCTGGGCTGCTTTCAATTTCCGTTGACAGGTCTCGCATATGAATTGTGGCAATTCATTGTAAAAATCGTCCATTATCTGATCGAAAAAAGTGTTAGCCACAAATAAGCTTCATGTTTAAGTTAAATTACTTACATTTATATTGGAAATATCAGCCAGCAGTTCAGCATAGGATATCTGTTGACTGCCACCACCACATTTGGTCAGATCTGTCAGAGGTTTTAAGCCTTTGGTGGCATTGTAACATGTACGACATTGTTGCTTTTCTAATTGTTCAGTGGTATTCATTTTTTTCTTTTCTTTAAAATGTATTAAAATGTAAAAACAATTATTTTATTTTTATTTAGAAAATGTTTTGTTTATTTTCCTTTTACAAATTTGTTATTTCTGTTTTATTTACTATTATATTTTGTTGTTTGGGAGCGAATGTTGAGAATGCCTGTAAAACGAACAAACCAAAAGTTAGTGAGTTGTTTTTATTTTGAAGTGGTGAATTTCTGTTAATGGTGAGAATGTGAAGAAAAGCGTGATAGCTTACTTATCAAAAGAAATAACATTTTTCGGATTTTTACGTAGATTGTATGTATTTATTTTAAAATTATATGAAGTTTTCAAAACCTAAGAATAATTTCTTCCTTTAGTGAAAACTGTATAACCGGTCCTAAGTGTTTAAAAAGGAAATAAAAATTAATTAAAAATATATTAATGTTTTTTGTTGATATCATTATTCTAAATGAATCGTTTTAGATTTGAAACTTTGTCAGATAAATCAAACATTTTGCAAATTTATTCCTATTTATCCGAATGTTTTTTTTTAAATATAAACACAGATGAAATATTTAAATGTATTTTTATTTTACACAAGGAAAAAGAAATACTGATGTATAAATTTTAATAATTAATTATAATTAATAAATTAGATTCCAGTTATTTGTAAAAGACATTAAAATTAAACTTAATTTAATTTAAAATAAATATAAAATTTTTTAAAAATGCAAAATATTGCAACAATATTATTACTAAAACTCAAAAAATACACCTAAACTACTGGCTCCTTATTGACGACCACCTCATCCATATGGCCCAATTTTGAACGATGAGCTTTTAATGTATTACTTTGAGTAAATGTACTGCCGCAAACATTGCACTTATAGGGACGCTCTCCCGTATGTATACGAAAGTGAATATTTAAATCTTTGGAATATTTAAAACTTCGCTCACACTGTGTACACTTATAGGGTCTTATATCCGTATGGGAACGCATATGATTGCTCATTTTACTCCAGACACGAAAAGCTTTATCACAAATCTTACATTTAAACGGTTTTTCGCCGGTATGTATACGTCGATGACACACGAGTTCCGAGGGACGCGGATAGGCGCGATCACAGAGATCACATTTAAAGGGACGCTCTCCTGTGTGACGGCGCATATGTACTACCAAATGAGTACGACTGGCAAATGAAGAACCGCATATGGAACATAAGGAACGTACTTCATATCTCTTTTTAGGTTTATCCTTTTTAACAGAATCTTCTCCAGTAGCCTGCGCAGTTTCCTCACTAGTCGATGTTTGCTTTTCTGTCCCCTCTTCATTATTGCTGTGTTTTTCTTTTATATGTAAGTTCAAATGACTCTTTTTAGTATAATTTCGTTCACATTTATCACACTGAAACTGTCGTTCTTTAGTGGAAGGTTTACGTATTAGAGGAACTGAATCGGGACCATGAAATGTACGCATGTGTTTATACATATTACAAGAACGTGAAAATCTACGGCCACACAGTGGACAGGTACATTTTTGTTCTTCCGGTATGTGTGTATTGCGTTTGTGTCGGGCCAAAGCTTTGGAATTGTTAAATATCTTATTGCATTCTTCACAGGGTACAGCAATATCATCATCGGGATTATAGGAGGATTTTTTGCATTTTGTGCGGGTTTTCTTTTTAACTTTTGTATTCTCAACAGCAACTTTGTCATCTTTCCAATCTGAATCTGAGTTGTTGACACTTTTATCATCATTAGAAAACTCACTACTGTCTTTAGAATCATTTTTGGTATCAACCTGGTCTCTTGTTTTAACATTTTCATTATCAGATTCTGCCGAAAGAGGACGTTTATCTTCCCTTAAAGTTAAACTAAGGCTAAAATTTAAACTCCTTAAGTTTTGAAATTATAAAAAAAACCTAACTTACTCTTCTTTTAAAGTTTCCTTGTCCTTTTTCAAACTTAAAACATCTTCACTGCAGTTATCTATGGCCATTTTATGCTCCGGTTCCTCTACCTTTAATTCTACAAAACATTCCGGTTCGATCTGTCCCAAATAGTCCATTTCCTCTTCTTTTTCTGCTTTAATAGTATCCGTAACAACTATATCTACCGGTGGCTCTTGTAAACACTTAAGCTGTTTATCAGTTTCCAATTGCTCGGCAATGGCTAGCAAACGTTCATTAACTTCCTGGGTTTGTTGTATAAAAGTATATGCAGCTTTTAGTCTGCGTACACAAATTTCACATATTGAATGGGGCATTTGCTCTTTATAAAAATCCTCCCTTATCTATGGAAATTTTTAAACAAAAAGTGATATTGTACCAAAATAAATAAAACCAAAGAAATTACATTTATATTGGCCACTTCCTTTAGTAGTTCAGCATAGGATTTTTGCTGTTGATCCTCGCCCGAACATTTGGTTAGACTTGTTAGGTATCTTAAACCTTTGGTGGAATTATAACACGCTCGACATTGTTCTTTTTCTAATTTTTCTATAAAATCCATTATTTCTTAACTTTTATTAAAAAGATAAACAAATATTTAATTTTCCTGTGCAAATTTTTGTTTACATATACTTTTGTTTGTTTATTTTTGTTGTTGTTTGAAATTAGTGTTGTTGTTTTTGAGAAATGTATCGGGTACTTAGAAGTGTTTAATCGAATACTTCATTTTAGACGAAATCATTGAAACACAATGGGCTGAATTCTTAAATTGATATGTTATTGTAATTTTGAAACAACTTAAAGGAATTTTAATAAGACTTTGGGTTATAAAGTAGATTTTTTGGGAAGGACTCTTGTAGATAGATAGATAGATAGATAGATAGACAGACAGATAGATAGATAGATAGATAGATAGATAGATAGATAGATAGATAGATAGATAGATAGATAGATAGATAGATAGATAGAGAGATAGATAGATAGATAGATAGATAGAGAGATAGATAGATAGATAGATAGATAGATAGATAGATAGATAGATAGATAGATAGATAGATAGATAGATAGATAGATAGATAGATAGATAGATAGATAGATAGATAGATAGATAGATAGATAGATAGATAGATAGATAGATAGATAGATAGATAGATAGATAGATAGATAGATAGATAGATAGATAGATAGATAGATAGATAGATAGATAGATAGATAGATAGATAGATAGATAGATAGAAGATAGATAGATAGATAGATAGATAGATAGATAGATAGATAGATAGATAGATAGATAAGATAGATAGATAGATAGATAGATAGATAGATAGATAGATAGATAGATAGATAGATAGATAGATAGATAGATAGATAGATAGATAGATAGATAGATAGATAGAAACTTACCAAATAACTCCTTTTAAAATTGTCACAAATCAATTCGAATAATATTGCAAACATACATTTTCCTTTTTTACTTAAAAAATAAATAATACATTTTTAAATAAATAAATTTTTACAATAATTCTATTTTATAATACTATAACTTTTCACTCGTCATGGTGCATTTCCCTTTCATGTTTATACAAACGACAACGTCTCGTATAGCTGCGATCACATTTATCGCATGCGAAGCGATTATCCTTCAGGCGTATTTGACGCTTTGGCTCTAAAACACTTACATCCGTTTGATGTAAATTACGCATATGTCTACGAAAATGATCAGATCGTCCAAATTTTTGTCCACACATATGACAAACGAACTTCTTTTCGTCCGGCACATGAGCATGACGCTGGTGTCGTGTCAATTTCCGTAAATTATGAAATATTTTCCCGCATTCATTACAGGGCACAGCTGTATTGATGTCATTCACTATTTTGGGTTTATCTTTTTTAGCTATTTCAACTTTTTTACTAGGAGTGTGTACAGTTTTTAAGTGCCTTTTTAGGTGATAGGTTCGTGAAAATTTCAAATCACATAGATGGCAAGGTAGTTTCTTTTCTTCAGGAACATGGGTGAAACGTTTATGGCGATTTAATTTATGCACGGTAGTAAATAATTTATTGCATTCAGAACAGGTTAACATTTGGAGGGCAGTTTTCATTTGTATGGGATTTTACGGGGTTCTTGTTTATATAATCCATACTATCTTCTGTAGCCTCATTTCTATATTCCGTGTCATCGAAATTACTGCTATAAGTAGAAAAAAGAAAGAGGAAGGGAGGGGGGCGGGAGCGAGCGAGCGAGCGAGCGAGGGACGAGCGAGCGAGCGAGCGAGCAGCGAGCGAGCGAGCGAGCGAGGAGCGAGCGAGAGAGCGAGCGAGCGAGCGAGCGAGCGAGCGAGCGAGCGAGCGAGCGAGCGAGCGAGCGAGCGAGCGAGCGAGCGAGCGAGAGCGAGCGAGCGAGCGAGCGAGCGAGCGAGCGAGCGAGCGAGCGAGCGAGGAGCGAGCGAGCGAGCAGCGAGCGAGCGAGCGAGGAGCGAGCGAGCGGCAGCGAGCGAGCGAGCGAGCGGGCGAGCGAGCGACCGAGCGAGCGAGCGAGCGAGCGAGCGAGCGAGCGAGCGAGCGAGCGAGCGAGAGCGAGCGAGCGAGAGAGCGAGCGAGCGAGCGAGCGAGCGAGAGAGCGAGCGAGCGAGGAGCGAGCGAGCGAGCGAGCGAGCGAGCGAGCGAGCGAGCGAGCTATCTACCTACCTATCTATCTATATCTATCTATCTATCTATCTATCTATCTATCTATCTATCTATCTATCTATCTATATAAATCTTTATTAAATTTTAACGATATTTTTTTAATTTTCTCATATTAAACCATTTATTTTCTTAACATAAAATAATTTTCTTAAATTCAAGTTTTTAAAAAATATATAAAAAATAATAACACTAAAAAGTAGTTAAACAATTAAATGAATACCATTCTGGCAAAGAACTTTTATAAGGATACTAAATAGAAAATAAAAAAATATTTCAGAATTTCTTATTAAAAAAACTTTTACTTATAACAACAAATAAATGAAATTATTGATCTTTATGCATTTTATGATTATGCTTATTTAAATGATATCGACCTAAGGCCTTAAAATCACATTTATTACAGGACAGTTTAAATATATTCCGTACCAGCACATTTTTATTATGTTCGTCTAGCATATGCTTTTTAAATTCGTCGGATTCTTCAAACGTGTGACCACATTGCGAACAAAGAAATATACATTCTGATGGCATGTGAAAACGATAATTGTGATGACCTAATTGTCCAGAAGTTTTAAACTTATACAAACATTTTTTGCAGATAAATTTTTTTTCTTTTAAAATATTTGCATTATTCTCGGCTGTATGCCTAGTCGATATGTGGTATTTTAAACTAGAGGATTTTTTAAAAAATAAATCGCAATGAGGACAATGTTTGTATTTATGGCGTTTTAATTTTAAGGCATTTGGAAATATTATTTTGCATTTATCGCATTGGAATTCGATGTTATTATTATTAATTTCTAGGCCTGGTGTTGTATTATTTTCATTCTTATCTCTAAAGTTCTCATTTCTATTGTTTGTACTAAAAAAAAGAAGAAAAGTAACGGTTGTTAATAAAATTGATTTCGTTTTGTTTCTATAACAGATTGTTAAATGAATTTTGTTAGAATAATATTTAGTTACGGAATTGGTCTAGGTTAGTTAGTAACATACTACCAGTGCCTCTGGGGGGAATCGAGTCTACGACCTTTGGTCTGACAGAGTTGAACACTACCTTCTAACCTACCGGAGGCATACACAATTAGAGTTAAAGTTTTGGAAGTATTTTTTTTGGAACAAAATCGATTTAACATTTACAATACCGTTATTTATAACGACTTAATACAACAAATTCAATTTTAGTTTTTGCCCAAACTAAAAGATCATTGCACAACTATAAACAAATGTATCTAAACATTGTTACTATCCCTTTTCTAAATTATTTTCCCACTTACCTATCTTCACAGTCTTTGTCTGTGAAGGCAACTGTTTCGCACTTAACAGCTTCTACCCTTTCCAAGAGACTGTCTTTAATTGCTACAGTTTCGGTTTCAACAGTTTCTTCTTTCCTTTCCAAGGGATTATTCTGTAATACCGCTACATTTACTGCTATCTCCACATCATTGTCTGTTTCCATTTTAATTTCCAAAGGAATATTCAATTCAGGTATTTCTATAAAGTGATTCTGTTTAGTTTGTAATTGACCAGCAAGTGTTTTTAAATATTTATTAATTGTATGCGTTTGTTGTATAAAATCATAAGCAGATTTAAGTTTTTCACAACACGTTAAGCAAATATATTGCGGCCAAAGGTCTAAGGGAGAAACTGCTTCCATAAACTGCAAATTTACAGAGAATCCATAAGAAAACTTTTATAAATTTTTCTAAAAAATAACTTACATCTATTTGACAAACTTCTGTTAATAATTCGGCATAGGTTTTAGGTTCATTTCGGCTTGTCCAGGATTCTGGCAGAGATTTTAGTAATTGTAAATTACTTTTTGAATTATAACAAGTACGACAATGTTGTTGACTTTCTAATGGATCTTGAGTAGTCATTTTGTGCGAAAACTTATAAATAATTAGGATATAATTGTTTCATTCAATTTTCATAGAATTCTTAAAAATTTACAGTTTTTTTCCTATAAATAACTAAAAAACGTACAGTTTGTATATATACAATTGTTTACAAAACAAATAGACAACAACAAATAATAAATAAAATTGACAGTTATTTGCAACAACAATAAATTGTAAAAGCCGATTATTTACAATTGGCAACACAACCGCGGACGACTAACTTTAGCATTGTTGCTAAAATTAAATTTGTTGCTATCTCGAGAGAGTCCCTTATCATTCAGAAATATTTGTTTTTAAATATGTATGTATAATAAAAACAAAACTTTGTTAATTTTTAATTAAATTTAAAAAATCCTCTGTCGTTCATTGTTTTTCGTTAGCCGTTTATATTCTAGTGAACAACTTGTTTACATTTTCTTACTGGCATTCACTGTAAATTAATAGCTTTTGCTTTACTTCAAAATAAAAGTACTATTTTCTATTACTAACATATTTTACAACTCTGTTTCGTTTTAATACAACCAAAGTATATTTATGAGGTGACAACAATACTTGCTGCACAACAAACCCTACAAGAACAGTGACAGTCATTTGATAGGTCATTTGACTGGCACTACTGATGTATTATTTCTATCACAGCGTAAAGCAAAGTTTCTATCAGTTTCTTAAGGCAAATGGACAAAAGTGATGGAAACATTTGTGTACATGTGATTTTTTTTCTCCCTTGCACTTATGAATTCTATCGACTTTAAAACATATATTTGAGCTCCTCACTCTTTTGTTGTTTACTAACCAAGGATGACATAAATATTAGTCAGGATTGACTGATCATGCTTGATGGATATATCCATCACAGTTAACAAATTAAAAATGATGTATTTATCGGTCATTGTTGACTAATCATATGTGATGAATATATCCGTCAAATGTGACGGCTATACCAATTTATAATAAAACACAATTTATTATTATTATAAGATATATATTTGTTAATTTTATTAATATAATAAGCATGTACATAAATTAACAATCATTTCACCATTTTACATACCTCGCAGGATCTTAAATCCGCTGATGCTCCTTTTAATTTGTGGAAATAAGTTGTCTGTAAGAAATACATATAAATATCGAAATATAAAAATTAAAAGTAAGTAATCATGTTACCATAGATTGATTAAATTCCGAAGTGTTTATCTTCAGCTCCACTTCCTGCACTATTTTTAAATTCTGTTTATAATAATTCTCTTTATTTTCAATAATTTATAGACTTTGTAAATTTTGAAATTTTTCGCTTCTTGATCTTTGGCTTTTACAGAAATAATTAATTTATAACGTCGAAATATATAACCAAAGTAAATTAATAAAGTAGCGACACGAGTTGTTGTACAACAAACGTCTACAAAAACCACAGGCAATTTGTTTTTGTTCGAAATACTCACTTGTCAAAATTTGTTTACAAAAATGAACCAATAATTAATGGAAAATATGGCATTATTGTTGTACCTTCCAAAAATATGTTGTTATTTATATTAAAAGTCACAGAGTTTTCTTTATTTTTTAAAAATTAGAACATTTTTAAAAATATTATACACTTAAAATACACTTTTTCACATTAAATACAACAAATTACTCAGAAATTTGTACAAAAGCAAGCGTTAAAATGAAAACAAATATGGCAACATAAACATTTTTGACAAGTAAGTCCACAAATAGCAAGTTTAAAAAAAATAGTCAGCTGTTCAAATGAGTCTACTTTATAAATTTACTTTGTATATAACTCTAAAACACAGTACAGTCAAATGTAGTTGTTTCACTCTTTCATATGCAAATGAAACACTTTACCACACATTGGGTACATTAACAGTCATTTTACCGGTCATTTGACTGTCATTATTGATGGAATTATCCATTAACTATTTTTTTTTTTAGCAATTTTATAAAAAAAATGTTGCAAGAGTGTTAGTGAAATCATTTTGTATGTGTTAGTTTCGGTCATACATTTCTTGTAGCCCTGCCAGCAATTTTGTAGTCGACTACGAGAAAAATTCACTTCTAGTTTACTTTTACAGACTGACTATAAGCTAACTACAATGTAATGCAGAGCTGTCCCGAAATTTTGTATTTGGCAACGTAAAGAACCGACTTTTAAATACTAACTACAAGCTAACTATAATGTAATGCAGAAGTGCCTCAAAATTATCTGGAGAGAATTAATTGTATTTCAACATGTTTTCTCTTGTTTCTCTATTATTATGATTTTATTTGTTAACTTTAGTAGACTGACTATAAACGAACAACAATGTAATGCAGAAATGTTCCAAAATTTGGTATTTATTAACGTAAACAACCGACTTTTAAAGACTAGCTACAAGCTAACTATCATATAATGCGGGAGTACCCCAAAATTATCTGGAGAGCATTTTGTTTCGACATGTTTTCTCATGTTTCTTTATTATTTGGAATTTGTTTTACATTTTTGTCATTTTCTTCTATACGTTGTGAAATTTGAGTCAGTAAATTGGAAAAATTAATCATAAAAGGTTAAATATTTTAAAACTCGGTCCCTAAATTCTAAATTCTGCTGATTAATACTGTAAATATAATACATTAACAGTTAACATTACACAAAACATTTTCAAATTTATTTTAGATTTGGATCAATGGGAATCATGGAAATAATGAACAAATCATTCATAATTTTATGGGTACCGGTGTTATTATTAGTTCCCCTGCAGAAAACTGATGTCTATTAATTTTAACGAACTAATATCAGAACTTGTATTAAACCGAAATGTAATTTAGATAACTAGTAGTTAAATTTTAAATATATTTAATTAAAATATAATTAATTAATACAGTAGGGAATTCAAAAGAAAACTATTGCTTGACTTTTCTGCAACTAACTTTAAGTTAGTTAATAAAGAGTTACCTTTAAGCTAATTTTTTAGTAACTAACTTTAAGCTAGTTGAAAAGTCATGCAGAGTCGGACAATTGACTACTGCGTATGACATCACCATGTTAAAATAGTCAGTTGGCTCCATTAAAAATAATCCAAGAATCAACCATAACTAGTTGATGAAAAAGCCGGCTTTTAATGCATTTAAAGTTAGTTGAGTTGCTGGCAGGGAGGGAACATCTACAACAACCACAAGCAATTGTTTGTGTTATAAATATACCATTCTGTCAAATTTTGCCTGTTGTTCTTGTTATATTAAACAAGTTGTCAAAATTATCCTGTTGTTTTTGTTATATTAAAATTAATCAGCTGTGCTTTTGTCGCCACTGTATATATACACTTTAAATACAATATAATCATCATCATTACGTCTTTATCACGTTTTTTTTTCACATCGTGCATGAAAACTGGCAAAAAAATTACGGAAACTTTCGGAATTTATCAATTAAAATTGTGACTTTAAGTTTTTTGGATCATGTCTTGGTTATTGGGTAGAAATAGGCCACAACAGCCTCAAGAAATGGCTGGTGCCGATGGTGGTAATCCAGATGGTAACACAGCCGGAGAAAGGTCTGGTGATGCTCAATTGTCCAAAGCTGAACGCAAGGCCATGGAGGCCTATCGTTTTGATTCCTCTGCTTTAGAAAGAGCCGCAGAAGCTGCTCGTACTTTGGAAAGATCAAGTAAGTTAATTTATTTGTAAAAGATGATGAAATCGTGTATATATTGAAGAAATTAGAAAAGGGAGGGGGGGTTTACGCACATACAGTAATTGCATAATCATATGTACATACATACAAAACTACATGTGCTGTAATAATGATGATAACAATAGTTTCTAAGGCAATTAAGTAGCAAATTGTATGTATGATAATTAAATTGTTTGTGTTTTTTTTTATTTTCCATAGAACATGCCCGTGAAGCTTTAGAATTGTCTAAGGCTCAGGAAATAACACGCCAACAGGAATATCAACAAAAAGTTAAAGAGTATGAGGCTCATATCGAGCAAGCCAAGGTGGAACAAAAACGTATTGACCATGAGGAAAGAAGAAAAACTTTAATAGTAAGTATTTGCCATACTATTAAATAAAATGAAAAATAAATAACTAAAATCGATTTGAAATATTTTAGGAAGAAACCAAACAACAACAGCAACGTGCCCAATATCAAGATCAGTTGTCCCGTAAACGTTATGAAGATCAATTGATACAACAACAACGTGTCCAAGAGGAAAATCTAAGAAAGTATGTTAAATCCTTTATATTAATAGCTCTTATTTTTCTGAATATTTTATTAAAACTCTTAGACAAGAGGAAAGTGTTGCTCGCCAGGAAGCTATGCGCCGTCAAACCATTGAACATGAAATTGAAATGAAAGAAAAGAATCGTTTGAAACTTTTGGAACATGAAATGCGTGTCAAGGCTAAAGTAGATCGTGAAAATCGTGATATTAATTTGGAACAAATCCGCTTGAGAGCCCAGGAACAACGTACCACCGTTTTGGAGGGTATCAAGTAAGTAACAATTATTTATTTGCCTTCTTTATCAAGTTTTCAATTACTATGTGTAATTTTTTCATTCTACTTCACTTTAGAACTGCTGGTTCTGTTATTGGTGCCGGTGTTGAGGCCATGCTTACAGATTGGGATAAGGTTCTAACCGCTGCTGGTGGTCTTTCCCTTTTGGCTTTGGGTGTTTATGCTGCCAAGGGAGCTACCGGTGTTACCTCACGCTATGTCGAATCACGCATTGGCAAACCCACTTTGGTGGGTGAAACCTCTCGTTTTGCCATGCTCGATGCTGTCAGACATCCTGTCAAATACATCAAGAAACTTAAATCCAAACCTGCCGATGCTTTACAGGGTGTTGTACTCAATCCTAAATTGGAAGAACGTCTACGTGATGTTGCTATTGCCACCAAGAACACACGCATTAATAAGGGCATGTATCGTAATGTTTTGATGCACGGTCCACCCGGTACCGGTAAGACTATGTTTGCCAAAAAGTTGGCCGAACACTCTGGCATGGATTATGCCATTATGACTGGTGGTGATGTAGCTCCAATGGGCAAAGAAGCTGTTACTGCTATACACAAAGTTTTCGATTGGTCTCAAACCAGTCGTCGTGGTTTGCTGTTGTTTGTCGATGAAGCTGATGCTTTCTTGCGTAAACGTTCTTCGGAACATATTTCTGAAGATTTGCGTGCCGCTTTAAATGCTTTCTTGTATAGAACCTCTGAACAAAATTCGAAATTTATGTTGGTTTTGGCCTCCAATACACCCGAACAGTTTGATTATGCCATCAATGATCGTTTGGATGAAATGGTCGAATTTACCTTACCCGGTCTTGAGGAACGTGAACGTTTGTTGCGTTTGTACTTTGATAAATATGTTTTGCAACCAGCTGCTGAAGGTGCCAAGTAAGTAGTGAACATTTTTATTTTCTTATTTAAAAGTGACTT